TTTTGCCGCGCGCGATTTCGCGGTCCGAAACGTGTTAACCGCACGCATAATTTAATATTCGGTAAAAAGTGCATATGCAGACAACTAAGTGAATTCCCTAAATCTAGACTGAATATGTATGTCCAAAACGACAGGATGGTTGGCAGCGAACATAATCGACAATTTTCTTTGAGGTTACAAAGAATTGTGAACGAAAATCAAATCAATTGAGCGTGAGTAACAAATTCGGGAAAGGAAGGCTGCATAATGTTGAACAAATTTGCTTCTTCCAGACAAAACATCGGAATTCGTGCTCATGGAATTTATGATGAGAAAGGCATGGGAACAGTTCCTCAAATTTGCACCTTGCTATCTGGAAGAGATTATGCAAACATACTTCAAACGCAATGAATTCTGTTTCTGCGTACAGTACAACTAAAGCCGATTGCTTTTCGCTGTCCTGTCCTTGTGAGTCAGTGGAACCATCAATCAACATGCAAGAACACCAGGCAACCTCGATCGTTCTCGTCGTGGTCACTCGATGCGCGATCATAACAAAACAAAAACAATAATACAGCAGCACAACCAGTTAGAGATGATGTGAAAAAGAGCGAGCGATCACAAACAAACAGTCCACACCTCTGACATCCCGTTTCACGGATCAATATGGTCAATGACGCATGCTGAGTACACGGATGACGACGACGCGATCGTGTGTGCTTCCGTACACGATACCTCCGATGACAATAGACACACGGAACGTATAGACGAAAATCGATCGGCACCGTTGAGGCTGCGGGAGAGCGAACACGGAAAAGATGAGGATATGAGAAATAAGCACAACAGAATGAGGCCAGCGGGACGTTAGTGCAGCCAGCGCTGGGGAATATCTGTATTTCCGAATTTTCCAGTGTACAGAAATAAATATCAGCGCAATTTCACATTACCCAGACAATTCATCGGAACTTCCGCAGAACAAGCCAATTTTGCAGCGGTTCCGCAGGACCTTGTTTACTCAAAAGTGGAAGCGTTGAAAATGAGAACTTCCGCAGGACTTTTACGTCGAACTGGTTGACTCCCGCAGGACTTTTTACAAAGCGCTGCGGAAATTCCGAAAATGCCGGTGGTTCCGCAGCACTTTGCCTGCCAGTACTTCCGCAGGACTTTGAA